AGATAGATAGATAGATAGATAGATAGATAGATAGATAGATAGATAGATAGATAGATGAGGGTTAGGGTTAGGGTTAGGGTTAGGGTCTATCTATCTATCATCTATCATCTAATTTCCCAGTCTAGCCCATAGTTCTGGGATTTCCTACTTCATATCCATGCATAAATCCTGCTTAGCTTTTTGAGATCAGTCAAGGTAGTTATTAGGGATAGTGCAAATTCTTATGACGAGTCAGGCTGGGAAAAAGCTGTCCTAAAGGAACATAAATAAAACCTCCATCTAAGCAAAAGACGGGAGCATCTTTGGTTTGATAATGTTGAAATCCAGCTGACAGCGGAAAAATGAGAACAGAGTTCTTAGTTTTGTCCTTGATGTTAGAATAAAAAAAGTTGAGGTCATTTTCATTATTGAGATTGCTACTCATGCACAAAAGCAGTGGTGTCCAGGGGTGGGTGGGGATCAAATTTTACAAAATGCCAAGCACAGTGTTGTGTTCAAAATCCTTTTTGTCTACACAGCAACACCACGCATATGTATAAAGGGGGGAGCTTCTATTGCAATTCTGCGCCTGTTGCAATTCTGCCTGCAATCTTGCAGATGTTGACCTCTCCTGCTGAAGCTCAAGGATCACAAAACTGCTATTCGCCAAAGGGATAAAAAAGCATACAATACAAATATTTGCATGTTTTTCCTTCCCTGCCTAATGTAAAAGTATCCCTTCCAAAGTCAGTCTAAATTGGGGGCATTCGCTTTATTATAGACCAACACTTTGAGGAATATAATATACCCTGGGGGGGCTATTTAATGACACACATCTGGACATTCCCACCATTTGTCCCTTCATTCCTAGTAGCTATTGTATTTTGAAAAAGATGTATTTCCAGTGCTTTGCAACTCATATTGCAACAGCCTTGTAATACAGGCTCAAACAGTATTATTCCCAGTTTATAGACCAAAGAAGTGAGGCTGAAAAGAAGTTAACATGATAATTATAATTGTGAACTCCTGCTGTTTCCTCTCTCTATAGTGTGAATAAGGCTATCATGAAATGTGGACACACACACTATTCCAACTCAACCCTTCTCCAATAGTCTCAGAATTCAGATTTCTAAGCTGCTGGTGTGGCTAAATGCTATCTTAGGAAACCAGCAAACAAATCAGATGCCTGGAATCACACTCACCAAAATCCCCCTTAGATACATACATATCTATATATCTGAGTTACTTCTCCCAATGCATTGGAGTAATCCAAATCTCCATCTCTTCGGTGCACCTGAAGTCTAGAGAGGGTTTGAGACCCTTCCCTTGGCCAAGGAATAACTCAAGGTATGTTTGATCAAAATCATAATGAAACAATAAGGCTAGAGGTATCCACAATGACTTTCATCAAGTAATAGATCAAAGACCTTTTCAACAAGTGCAGGCTGTCTCCTCCTCTCTCCTTCCCAAATGAAAAGATGATAAAATCATTACTTGGTCATCCCCACCAGCCTCCCCCTTGCCCTGGGCTAAGCATCTGAGGACCCAAGATGCACTATCAAGATTCCTCATCCCTGTATCAGGGGGAATTCATTTTTGTTTTCACTGCTTCTTACAAGGCGGTGAAAGCTTATCTCCATTTTAGAGATAAGTATCTCAGAAATGAGAAAGATCAAAATTGTGTTCAGCCTTTTTCTTCTTTTCACTATTGTGATCTAGCAATTCTCAGGGTAACACACCTGACTAAGAATTATATCAAATATTAGCTGGGATTATGAGTGATTGCACAACACAGGCAAAACAGCAAGGCGCAGCAATAAAAGGTTATCACTATATCAACATAAAAAAAATGACTGATGTGATGCCACCCGTGATATCATCCCCAGCTTGCCTGAGGCGCTTCTAACTTTTACAAGCACAACAATGTTCTCCTGATCATGGAGACAACCGAGTAGCTTGATATGAGTCTCTCCTCCTATACCTCACCATAATTACCTGCCCCTCCCAACCTGTGTGGCCCAAGGTTGAATGGACATGGGCCCAGGTTACCTGAGGAACCATCTCGACCCGCTTACGTTGACCCAAGTGGGTGAAGTGTTCCATCCGCTTCATCAGGAAGGGCATGTTAAGGACCCCGTCAGCTAGAGAATTTCGACTGGTGGGGTCTAGGAGGAGAGCCTTTTCTGCTGTCGCCCCCACCCTGTGGAACATCTTGCCCCCGAGGTGAGACTGGCCCCTACTCCTTTGGTCTTTTGGAAGAGTGTCAAGACCTGGCTCTGTTAACTGGCATGGGGACCCAATGGGGGTTCGCAGTACTGGGGGTGGTTGGTGGCTTGAGGACGCTCTCTCTGTCTTTCAGCTTTGTATATTTTTGCTAAGATTTTTATCATTTTTTTAATCACTTTTTACTTGTAAGCCGCCTAGAGTCACTTATGCAGCGAGATGGGTGGTGTATACGTTTGATTAATGAAATAAATAAATAAATAAATAACTCTGCTCTCAGTTCCCCCTACCATTTTCCATGTGGTTTCTCTCAATGAAATTCCTGCTAAGGTCTGCCTTGCAGATTTTCTCGACGTGCCTCATGCATACGTTCAGGAGGTCGTCTCTGAGTATCCCCATCGCTGGACTCATGTTCTCTCCTTCAAGCAAGATGCTATACGTTGGCAGAGATGGAGGAATAACGTAGCTTCTCATCATTGCTCCAAATTCCTGAGAAGGAGAAGAAGAAGAACAAGAAACTTTTTGAATTTCAAAGTGTATTGCAAAAATTGGAAGACTCTCCGTTTCAGCACATACTGATGTTCCAGTTTCAGAGTTTGTGAAGTGTGAATGGGGCAGGCTTACCTCAAATATAAACCAAATGAAATTCTCCCTTGGCTAATTAACCTTATTAAAGCTACCCCAGGTGGATCCTTCCCCACTGCTAGCCAGAATAAATATGCATCTGCATTAATTTGTGGCAATAATTTTAGTGGGAGGAAGGCAACGTTGCTACTAGATAGACACATTCACATGCAAATAAAAGCTTTTCTTACTCTGACAAGATTGTATCATAGAGTCAATACATTAGCAGTTGATTAGGTTGAAATCATGTTTGTTGATAGACCTTGTTCTCCCAAGTAAAAGAGAAAACAGTACCTGTAGGAAGAGCACAGAATCACTAATCTGGCCAATCTGTTCCCTGGTTTCCTTATCCTCTTGCAACAGTTTGGCTCTTTCTTCCAGTTCCTCCACAATCTCCTTGATGTTCTCCACCGCGATCTTCTCCCTGTGGTCCAGACCAGCCTTGACTTCATCACGCTGTTTCTCCAGGTCACGGATCAGCTCTTTGAAATGCTGATCTACTGTGGCTTTTTCGTTGGCAGTAAAATTCTAAACAGAGACCACGAAAGGGAGAGGGAAAACCCCCTTTTTCATTAAAACCCAAAACAGCCATTGCAGAGCAACAATTAAGCTAAGTTCTTCCTTCAGGAAAGGACTCTGTATTTTGTAAGGACGTGAACCTATCTTTTTATGAAAATCCTCACTTTAAATCAGAGGACTTTGACCCTTACTTAAAATCCTCACTTTAAATCAAAGTCCCTGAAGATTTGGGGCATAACTCTCAAGGATCTCCAGAAATAGCTACCCAATTGTAATTTTAAAATAGTCATACAGGGGAACTTATTAAACCCATGGCTGGGGCATAATCTTTAACCAGATATAATTTTAATGGTAAATGAAATGAAGTATTCCCTACCCCACCTACAACTTTTTGGAGATGGCCCTCTGTCAAAAAAAAAAAAAAAAGTACATTTTGGCTTCTTTTTTAAGTAATAAGTCCAGCAAAGTCTCATTTTCCTAGCCATGTATTTTAGATATGGGATAGGGAACCAAGAGTTGGTAATTTCAATCTTGTTATTCACATTCTAGATGCTCTCCTTGCAGCTACCCCTTCTGAGCGCTGTTGAATCCCAGAAAAGAAACCATCCTGCTTTAGGACCGTACCTTTTAACTATTGTTAACATTTGCTGAGCAAGGGGAAACCACAGTTGTTTGCAAAGATCATGCCACAACTTGCAGCCAAGATCTAACGAAGTATCTACTTGTGGCTTCATCATTCATTCATAATGCTTCCCAGCATCCATTCAAGGAGAGTTATTTGTTTCCGCAGAGAACATTTTCCACCCACATACAAATTCTCAGCTACATTCCTCCCAATGCACAGGCAGGTTCTTTGCGATCACAGCAAGAAGACCATATACAAATGATGTGAAATTCTGGGAGCCTTGTTGTATGAGTAAGCCCATGATTCTTGTCTATGCATGTTTATCCCCCAAAATAGAGTCATTGCTATTGTAAAATTCACAGGAAATAATAGTAATAAGAGTTCTGAATTAATTCTGCTTTGGTCAGATCTCACCTCATGAAAAGGGGCAAGTTCTGGGCACCAGACCTTAAGAAGGACTCAGACACCTGGGACAGGTTTGGAAAAGAGTTGGCAGGGACCAGCAACGACATCCCAGCAAAAAGGTTAAAGGATGGAAACACAAGGAGAAGAATGAGCAGGGGTGGGATCAAATACCTGAAGAAGCATCACCTAAAAGATCAAAATTTGTTCTTCATCATTCCAGAGTGAAACATTTGGAATAATGGATTTTAGCTACAGGAAGCCAGATTCTGACTGAATGGAGATGGGGGTGGGGGATCCTAACAAAAAGTTAGGATCACCAAAAAGAATTATATCCTTGTGCTACCTTGGCACAAATTAAAAAGTGAAATAGTAGCATCTCAGCACGATGCCTGAGGAGGAGAAGACTAAGCAGCCAAGAGTTGGGAGTTTCCAGCAAAGAGAAAATGGCACACCCCCAAGTTCCATGGAACTCCAACATCTCAAAGGCCAAACCAAACTTGCAGTGATTCGCAATAAACCACAGCTGAGTGAGGTAGAGCTTGACTGAGCTGATGAACAGAAAACAGCATTGTGAAATCACAAAAGGGCCATGCTGGTGTGGGAGTGGTGTCAAGCCAACATGTGGAAGGGTTTAGTTGGCTTGGATGCTCTGGTTGAAAACAAGCAAACTCAAAATGGGAAATAAAGAAACAACACGAGAAGATTGAAGAGGGAGGACGTTGGTGCGTACTCACCTTAATACGGTCCCTCTCTTTCTGCCACTTATCCACTTCATCTTCAAGCTCAATGATCTTCAGCTGCAGTTGCTCTTTTTGCAAAGAGAGTTCAGTCTGCAGGAGAGAAAGAAGGAGAGTGATGAAATCAAGCAGCTCAAAGCCAGCTGAGGCTCTTCACTCGTGTCTTTAGTCCTGAACCACAGGGCCTACAGCTACAGGTTCTTGGCAAGCCAAGATTTGGACTTGGAAGCCACCCAGATTGCTCTCCAGTGGGGCCAAAAGCTCTGAACTCCTCAAGCAAAGTAGGAAAGATAAAGAGGCTTAGAAGCAGTCGGATCTATTTTTATTAATCACTTGGGAAGAAATGGGGGTGGGGGGATACGGGCTTGTTCATCAAGAGGTGCAGGGAGAAGAGGTTGATTTCAAAATCCAGCTGGGTTTGTATCAAAGCACTGTGCCCAGGGTGTGTCTTTCCAACTCTACATGCCTTTGGTGTAATTAGGGGATGACGTCACCCTGATGGTGCAACAAGTCGGAAGATGCCTTTGGCAGAAATGGTATTGCAACGTGATTGTGGAGTCTGGGTCTGGCCCTTTGGCCTGTGAACAAGGCAGGCTGAAGGAGAGAAAGGGAAACTCTTACGGAGCGTGGCCTGAATCCATCGATGCAGCTCCCCCTTTTCCATTTTAAGATGTGATATGTGCAGACAGGAGCTAGAGTGAAGGAGACACATTCGCAGGTTTTTCAGCAAGTACACGACCAAAGTGCCAATCTGATAACACAAAGGGCCTTACACATCCATGGATGTGTTCACATTGGTGCAAGCTGAGGAACTGATTAGGCCTCCACCCAGGTGCAATTTCTTACCTCGATGACGCTGCCCAGAGTCACTCTCTTGTGAGATGGGCGGCTATGCAAATAGGATCAATCAGTCAATCCATCAATAAAACATACGCCAAGCAAATGTCAATCCCGTATCAGTTATATGTATTCGCATCCAACTGAGCCCCCGGATTCACAGAGAAGCAAACATGATCTAGTCCTGCCAGCAAAGATGATACAGTCCAGCCTCCATCCCCCAGAGAAGACACCTGGAAATTTCTGGGAAGCTCAAACTGAATATTTGAAGGCAAAGTATCTGCATTGTTATTTGCCACAGCATCTGATGTACAGAGTTATACGGCATATAGATAAGGAGGTGCCATTTAGTTATAGTACCTAATTAATGCATTAGCTATTAGGATTAATTCACTGCATTCACCTATTCGATGCAAATCGTCCTTCTAGCCTCACATAACATTCCAAGCTTTGCTGAAGAGCTGGAGAAATTGCTCGCTCTGCTTCAGCTGCACGGGTCCCCGAGGCTACGTATGACCCCCGGGGGCCACTCCAGAAGTTGCTACATTGTAATTTTTAATTTGGCAGAAGAGAAAAAAATGAAACGCATGAAGGATAATCATATGAACTGTATTAAATTAATATAATTTAATTTACATGTAAATTAAATTACATGCAATTAAATTTTGGGCTTTGACCTGCCTCCTGCTTGGTTTTGATTGTACCTACTTTTCACAGTCCACACCCCCTTTCTGTGGCCCAAGGCTCTTTAAAAGTTGTCCTTTTTGGTCTCAGGAGACAGACATTTGCAGAGTGACTTCGGATCCCTAAGCCAAGAACCACTTCAGGAGTTCCTTTCTGTCTTGGATCAGATTACCTCTTGGCATTAGCACAAAAGCTATATTTGTAGGTTTCTCCTTAAGATAAGGATGGAATGGGTGATCATTTGTCAAAAAAATGCTTCTCACTCATCTGGACTACTTGCAGAATTCTGTATGCCTGAAGCAACCCTGAAACAATTAATGAGCGTAAATTTTCTCACACAACTTGTCTTTGCAAACATTCAGAATGCTTTTGGAGAGCTGGTGTACAGAGCAATAGCTAAGGCAGCGAGTGGAGGAGGGTGGAAGTACTACACCGGGTTCAAAAAACTTCTCCATCTCTTCTCATGTTTTGTCACTGAACAAGCTGTTTGCATCCTGATTTCATTAACAGTAAAAGTGCTTGAACAAGTTAGCTTAAAATAGGAGGTGTAAAATAAAAATGATGCACCATAGAGGCACACCATAAAGATAATGCAATGGTTGGCACCACTCCAACAAAGACAAGAGTTTTAAATAATGGTTTGCTGAATAAATTGTAACAATCCTGTTCTCTTTCCTGTTCTCTTGCTTGTGAACCAAGCTCTTAAAGTATCCCAGAGCGATTTTTCCCCCCTATATTCAACCACTCTTGAGTTGAACAAAAGCTCTCTTACAACACCGCTCAAGTTCATCTGAGAAAGAAGAGCTCGTCCTGGCCTTTGAACCCAGGTTAGTTCTCATTCACTCCCTTGATTTAATTGCATATTATATACACGTTCAATACGATCTCCGCACTAATCTGGAAACTACATAATGGAGTTTTTGGAACTGTGTTGCTTCAGGTTGCAGAAGTGGCTGTATGAAAGGTACACGTTGGGGAGAAGGCCAAAAAGCATGAGGAATGCCTGCATTCGTGTCAGCACCTGCCTGTTTTCAAAATGTCTTCAAGGTATATCTATGGCATTTGCACGGGCGTGTCCAATGCTAACTCTAGAACAACCTTCCCTAACCTGGAACCTTTCTGCTGTATCAAGACTACCAACCCCAGAATTCCTAGTCAGCACCAAGGATTTCCCTCAACAGGAAGAGCTATACAGGTTCCACCTTGAGTTGCAATTTTGCATAGGCAGTCTTGTTTGACTGTTGGCTCAGTAGGGTACACAAACAATGTCCTTGAGTTTGAACCTCATCTACACGCAGGGGTTGCACAGATGCCATAGTGTGGGGGAAAGCACCTTTCAGCTGGTTTGTTTTCTACTCCAGAAGAAATATTATGGAAGTAGATCTGAAGCTTTGCTTCTGAAAGTGTGGGTGAACAGTTTCCCAGCTTCTGGGATTTCTCCCTTTCTCTCTGTAGCCAAGAGCCATGGTGCTCTTCCATATCTCCTATCCTCCCTAGATGCTGAGAAGGACTTTTGCACACAGCAGCCTATTGGAGGGGGTCTGTGAGAAGGAAAAACTGGCACCAAGCACCATCCAGTTGCCCAGCTAGAATATTGACCCTTGCAGAGGAAGACCAAGCACATTGAGGAAAATTTCTGCAGAAGGGCCAGTGGCTGTGTCTCAAATGGCCTGCAAATATCCAGTTTCACCATCTTCAAGAATTAGCTGTTGATTTATCCCCAGAAATAAAGAAGAGCAACAGATTAAGAATCAATCCAGCCATCTCAGTGAAACTTGGACGGCAACATTATATAATTAGATCTATAATAGATTATGAGGGAGGACCAGCAAGTTTAGAAGTGAGCCAGTGTTTTAATTTATTAAACAGGCACATCTGGTGCATGCAGAAATCACGAAGCCATGCAGACTGCCAGTCAATCCTCTTATTAATGCTCAGAAAAGTTCTTGGTGTTCTCCCAAATGCCCTTCAAGCACTGAATGAGCCCTCGCCAAGCTGCCATGCTACAAAGGCGGAAGGGTTGTGCCTTGGAGGGGATTTCTCTTTGCGGTTGAAGAGATCATGTGAGGTCTCTTTAAATCCAAAGGGATGCAAAAATGGTCTCCCACGAAATTCCTCCTAGCAATTCACTGGGACTTCCCACGGCAGGGTTCACACAGCAAAGTTAGCCTGAAGTCACCCATGTTGGGGGCTTTGCACAATATCTGAACCCTAAACTAATAAAAAGGGCTTGCAGAATATGTCCAGAAATTCTGACCAACTCCACCTTCTAATACAAATGCAGCAGGTAAGTCTTTATCTGACTCCTAGACATCTTGGGGAGCAACATCAGCATCTTGGATGATACTTATTATACCTATAGGAACGTTTTGTAATGTGTTTTTAATTAATATTTATTCCATTTTAATTAATATTTATTCTTTTATTGTAAACCGCCCAGAGTTGCTCTGCAGGGAGATGGGTGGTAACAAATTTGAAATATAAAATAAATAAAAATAAAATAAACATGTATGTCATGATGGCATGCTGCACCACAACGCCACTTGCATCATAATCTCACAACACAACTGATGGCCTTTACATGATATGTGTCATTTGCACAATGATGTCCTGATGTGTATAAAGTCATCCAGCATTGCTGGAACTGGCTCGTGGGATGATCGATCCTGCTTCCCCCATCTTTTTGATTTGTATATCGCTTTTATAGATTTGTTGTTTGTGTTTTAATCGGGGGCTATTTATATTTTTATTGTTTTTATTGTCTTGGTTTTTAATTGTAAGCCGCCCAGAGTCACCCTCTGGGGCAGATGGGCGGCATATAAATTTAATAATAAATAAATGAAAATAAAAATAAAAGTCATTGTGCCTTTCACCCAATGCTCATTACTTGATCTGGATAAGTGTGTTATATGGACATAACCAATATCTACTAACACTTTTCTCGTGTCCCTCTGAACTCCCTAATTAATCAAGAGAGAGCTGTTACAGCCACCCTCCCTTAACTTACCAATCACAGTATGGCCGGATTCACACATTTCATTGAGCCAACATGGAGATTGCCTGTCTGTGCCTTCAAGTGTTATGTAAACTCTCAGCCTCTGTGGTTGGCAGGTCAAGGTCTAGTTTGTTATGTGAATTATGGTTTAGGGCTATAGATAAATCAGTCATAGTGTTCTGGACTCCTAAACCAGGAGGAAGCACATTTCAGACTTAATAACCATGAGCCTCAACCAGCATAGCCAATCGCTTGTGGGAATTGAAGCTCAATTATTTTAGAGAACATCAGTCAACCTAACCTCGCCATACCCTTTAGCTGTTGACCCTGCCATTCTTCTAAAGACTAGCCCTGGCTCATGGGTACAGTGTTCATTTGCAAGCCATCTTAGTTAACAAAGCCATCACAGCCCCACTTCATACATGGCACTAAGCCAGAAATGACAGTTTAAAAAATTTCCCCAAAGCACGTCCCTTCTTGTATCACCTCCTGTCTTCACCCAGTTATACCCATTTGACATACTACCGCTTTCTGGTCTGCTCACTTACTGAGATTTCTCTCTTGCTGTCCAGCACTG